ATTTCGAACCTATGACACGCGTGTCAGAGGTGACACGCGAACTCATTTTTTTGGGTTGATTTTTCTTTGTTAAATGGCATTTAAATATATGAAATAAATATCAAAAATATACATCTTTGTTTTACTATGGTTGCAAATATCAAAAAATTTCTATATGTGACATGGCACCAGAGTTAAGTTAGGGTTTTTCAAAATGCTGACACGCCGAGCTCAAAAGGTTCGCCATCACTGGTAAAGCATTCCTGGCTCTATTGTTGTTAACTGGGAATATGGCAGGTTACTAACGAGTCTGCACCTCAGGTTTCCCATCTGAGAAATGGAGGCAATAAATTACCTATCTCCATGGAGCTGTGAGGAGTAACAGAGGCTGTCCATGCAAGGCACTAAGTACAGAATAAGTGCTTAATAGTACTTTCAACACCGACAGTTGATTTTGCCAGAAGTGAAAAGAGCTTTGGGAAGATAAAATCCTCCAAGATGATTGTGTTAGATAAATTGTGAGTGACATTTTCTAAGCAGGAGACTAGCACTGCCTGCATTAAATGGGGCCCTGATCCCTGAGATTTGCCCAGTGGAGGGAAAACCTGGAAGATATATGGGGGCACTTCCTGCCTAGGGTGAGGGATACAGAGGCTCTAGGAGAGGCGTTCCCTTGTCCTCCAAACATGCCATCCAAGACACTAATACAGGTGGTTGCTGAGTACTAACTGCCGTCTTTTTTGTTCAGCAAGGCACAGGATTGGGTATTTGAGGTTGCCTTTTTTCCAGTGGAGTATTTTTAGGGACAAGTGTTATATACTTTCAGCAAATAACAATGGTAGATACTGTTTTTGCACTGCTTACTGTGTGCTGCCAGCTACTGGGCTAAGATACCATTTAATCCTCACAACCAACCTATGAGGTGGGGGCTATTCTTATCCCTATTAAGTAGTGCCAGGATTTTGCGAGGCCACTCCATTTGGATCTAGAAGGGAGGGTGTTGGGTAATTATAAGTGCCTTGTGAATTGAATTAGGTTTTAAAATTTAAGAAACATACACTGCCAGGGGGAGGTGAAGGCAGATAGAACCTCTTTGTTCCAGATTTCTGTTTGAAGGTAAATAAAATCTCCCCCATACGGATAATTCTAGACAAGTGGTTCTCAACCTTCCTAATGCCACGACCCTTTAATACAGTTCCTCATGTTGTGGTGACCCCCAACCATAAAATTATTTTCGTTGCTACTTCATAACTGTAATTTTGCTACTGTTATGAGTCGTAATGTAAATATCTGATATGCAGGATGTATTTAGGCGACCCCTGTGAAAAGGTTGTTCAACCCCCAAAGGGGTTGCGACCCACAGGTTGAGAACCGCTGGTCTAGACAGTATAGTGGACTGAGTATCTTCATCAGTGTTTAATGAAAGTCTGCCCTCCTTCTCTGGAAATAGAAGCTGAATGAGCAGGCATAAACTATCTCCTTCTCTAATACCTGTCTTTCTCATTTCCACAGGGAAAGGTAATTACTGGACCCTGGATCCAAACTGTGAGAAAATGTTTGATAACGGGAACTTCCGCCGGAAGCGAAAGCGCCGCTCTGAGGCCAGCAGCAGCTCTGCAGTGGCTGCAGGGACGTAAAAAGAGGGTCTGTCCTCAGGATTAGGGGCTGGAGCGGGTGGGAAGCCGGAAGGAGACAGCCCCTCTGCTCTGCTGAGGCCTTCCCAGTCTCCCGAGCCTCCTGAGGGCTCCAAGAGTGTCTCCTCCCCTGGAGGGCCCGTGCTCACCTCCACCCCTTGCCTCAACACCTTCTTCAGCAGCCTCAGCACCTTGAGTGTCAGCAGCAGTGGGAGCACCCAGCGAGCTGTCGCTGGTGGCCACCCCCTAGGGATCCAGGGGACCCACCTGCCCTCCAGCAGCACGTTTCCCACCAGCTCCGTCTCGGAAGCCTCAGACAACTTGCAGCTGAGCACCAGCACCAGCAACGGCAGCAGCCAGAGATCTTCCTATTATAGCCCTTTCCCTGCCAGCACTGGTGCAGGGCAGAGCAGTCCCTTCAGCCCGCCTTTCTACAACTTCAGCATGGTCAACAGCATCATCTACCCGCGGGAGGGCTCTGAGGTATAGACTTAAAGATGCACACCTGAGATCTTGTTAAAATCCATATTCCAAGGCGGCTGATCTGGAGCAGGTTCTGCGTTTCTCTGGAGCTCCTGGCTGATCTGGTCCATTAACCACACCGGGGAGTAGCCTGGGTATAGTAGACAACTCTTTCTACAACCCAGCAAGCTTCTCCAGGTTGCTCAGGGTAGGGCCTCCCTGAAGAGATAGCTGTCCCTCTCTGTCCTACGATGATAGCACCTGTGAGCCCTGTGAGGCCAAGGGACCACATCTGTTCGTTCATCACTGTAGATCAGGGTTACAAGTTCAAATGTATACATGGCCAGCTAAAAAAAAGTGAATGACGTTATTGGGGAGGAAAAAGATAGCAATTGGCATTGGAATCATCAGGGAGGAGTTGGGACTGACCCACTGAATTCTTTCCTTCTGCCTGGCAGCTTTCTGATTTTCCTAGAAAAGACAGATCTGTATTTTCATAGGAAACCTCCATTGGAATTCTTGGTTGCTAATTAAAGTTTAGAAAATACTGTACTGGGAAACCCCCAAAAGCCATGAGCTCTATCCACCTCATGAGCTCCCTTTACTCATGCTCAGCATCTGGTACATGGTAGATATTAATAGCAATAAAACTACCCAAGCAAGCCCTATGTGCCATGCACTGCTGGACACTGCACTCATTAACCCAGACAGCCTGGGCCACGGGTGATATTACCGCCTCATTTTCATAGGAGGCTGGGAAGCACCAGGATGTCAGGTGCTCACTCCAGGCCATGCAGGCACCAGCCGTGCAGCAGGGCAGGGTCAGGTCCAGGTCAGGTCCAGGCAGTCTGGCTCCAGGGCTGATGCTTGCAGCTTTGTGTTTCTAGTTCCTGGGGGCAGACAGTGCATAGAGAGTAGGAATGAGCTAGATCACATTTGACCAAAGATTCCAGTTGAAATAAATGTCACGAGATGTTCCCGTGAGCAGCACGGATGGAACCCCCACCTCCATGTTACTTGTGCTACTGTATTCCTGTGGCCTGGGCTGACCATTGTCCTCATGAACCTGACATCCTGTCCCTTTTAGCATGTGTCCTGAGTTTTTCTTTAAATGAAGTATTAGAATTTTATTAAAAATAGTTTTTAAATTGAATTTTTATTTACCACAAATGGTTGTGTTTTTTTTAAAAACCAGTTGTGGTAATTTTTTAAAAAATACAATTTACTTTTAGCACTCCCTTTTACTTCTCAAGAGGTATTTTCATTTGAATAATTTGTATGGTTAGCCTCCCAGCACCCAGCAGAGAGCCTGGTGCCTGGCAGACACCCAGTCATTGCTTGAACTTGAACTTATCCAAAAAGTATTAGTGTATTTTATTGGAACAATGTTACATTAAGACGAAGATAATGTCCTATGAATTGCCTTAGTGCCATGTTGTTGGTTTGGGGTTTTTTTAATTTTTTAATTTTTTTAATTTTTTAAAGGAACACAAGTACATTGTTAAAAAAAAATAGCTTTCCTCTGTGTATTCTTTCTTAAAACTCACAGCATTACTCTTAAATTTTTATTTTGAAATAACTTACAGGAAACTCTTTTTTAAAGTAGTTTATTGAGGTACAAGTAACATCACCATTATTTAAATATTATGAACAGGTGTACCTGGTTTTATTGTGCTTCACAGAGGTTGCATTTTTTTTTTTTTTACAAATTAAAGGCAAGACCCTCACCAGCAAAAAGATGACACTTGCTTTCTAAGACTGGTCTGGCACAGAAACTGCAGCATCCAAGGCTTGCCTGCAGAAAGAACCAAAGACCGCCCACCCACACTGCACAAAATCCAGTTTCAGGGGTATTATTTTATGTGAAAATCCTGTGGACTTTTATAACTATTGTTTCTAACACAGTTCTATATTTGTAAAATAATTTATAATGTGAACTGAGACAAAAATTTTCCCTAGGAAAGTACACTATATGCTGAGAATCTCATGAAATAAACTAAGTGGGATGACTTCTGGCCATTTTTCAGCATTGCTATTTTTCTGTCTTCAGTTTCTTTCTCCTAAAAGAAGAGATGTGAGTGGCATGGCACCAACGCCACTACACAGACTTTGTGTTGAGAGGGGAGCGACTGACCTTTGGTGTCTTTCCACCACCCCTATCTGAAAAGGCAGGGATGGAGCAGCCACTCTGGGGAGGGTCTTACAGGCATGACCATTTTATAAGAGTCACAGTTCTGTCATTTAGATTAACGTGCAATGCAGTGCACCAGATGATTTCTGTTGCAGAAAGAAATGTGCTGGAAAAGTTTCATCAGCTGACAGTAGTCCTTGGGTGCAGCCCCAGGTGTTCCAGTCCTCGAGGGGGCCACAGGCAGCCCAGCATTTCCCAGGAAACTTGAAAACAGCTTCGTCTGGAAAAACCTGAAATAGGCTTCTGGGCTAGGGTTTCTCAGCACCAGCATTGCTGATGTTTGGGGCTCAGTAATTTTGTTGTAGAAGTAGTCCTTTACACCACAGGGTGTCTGCAGCATCCCTGGTCCTTACCCATTAGACCCCCCTGGGCCCTGGCCATGAGTGATAACCAAGAGTATCTGCAGGCATTGCCCATGGACCCTGGGGGACAAAATGAGCCCTGGTTGAGAACCACTGATGTAGGTCAATACCCACAGTTTGTCAAGGATGAAAGGAAGCCCCCTTGGTCTCCAACAGAAAGTCCTAGGTCTTGGGCTAGCAGTCAGGCCCTGAATGAGTTAGACCTCTGGGCTTGTGCAGGCAGTTTGTCCTGAGATGCCCTTTCTCATAAGGAGAATAAGTTGTGAGCAGGTGTAACCCAGCAACAGGCATTTCTCAAAGCTGGGACCAATGGTTCGCCCAGTCACATTGGAGGTAGGGCTCCTTCAATATTTTAGTTGTTGATTATAGATTTCTTATGGTAGCTTCCTTCTTGGCATCTAATTCTTTTACTAGTAGAGACCTAGGCTGGGGATAATTTTAATTAAACAGTAGTAAATGATCTGGGTTATTTAGGGGTTGTAGGGGTGGGGGGTGGGGGGACAGGACACAGGCATAGGGAGGACGTGCTAAAAGAACGTGATTAACCTGTATTTGGAAATATCTAGTTCTGGGTGGTTGATGGCTATTAAATGCCAGAATATTGGTATCTGTGAGAACAAAGATGATGAGAAGAACAACTAACTGGGAAGAGCAGCAGGTGCCTCAGACTCCACTCCCAGGACTGAGGAAGCGGTGCCTCCTGCTGGGCATGGGATTAAGGGAAGAGGACTAAGCTGCCTGTGCCTGTAATATTTTCAGGTCAAAGTCTGCACCTGCTTTCCAATTGGGACCCAGGTCAGAAATACAAACCTGAGCCAAATTTCACTCTGTGGTGCTCAGAACTGCAGAGGAAAGAATGTGGACCCATGGCACACTGTTCCGCAGCTTTCGTTCCGTGGGGTTCCTGGGCTGGGGGCTGAGGTCAGGTTGAGGCCAATTATGCACCTTTATAACCTAAAGCACCTGCCTTCGGCCTTCTAGAACCTCGTGTACCATTCAGAGTCAGAGAGGAGCCAAGGAGAATGTGAAAACTGAATTAGCAGTGCTCAGGTTTTCTGTTTAATACTTTAGGATCCTTTCACCCCATTCGTAAACTTAATGGAAAAGGACTTTGAAAACTTTGCCTTCCCCAGCTCCTCCCCAACCCCCAAGGGCATTCCTTGGTTCCTCCCAGGGCCAACTGGGCCAAGGTAGAGACAGGAGGAGCCTCACTGAATTTTGAAGGAAATTCTAAAAGTGTGCTCCTTCTCTCTGAGATCCCCAAACTTGGAAAGAGGCTAAATTTTGGGGTCTAACTGTGTCTTGTTTTCTTTAGATGCTCTAGTCACTGACACCAGTGGTTGTCAATGAAAAAGCAGCTACTGTGGTTTTCTGTGCCAGCAGGGGCTGGCCAGTTCTGGGGTGAAGACCTGGTGGGCCATCCAGGCCTTGCCTTTTGTTATGGAGAGCAGTCAGCTGGGGCGGATGGCTAGCACCACTACAGAGAGGAGTTTCCAGTTAGCTTTGAAAACAAAAGAAACCAGGCAGCTACCAAATTCCTCCCATGTTTTTTATTCATGATGCCAGGGCATCACCAAAACCCTAGGAGGCCAGGAGAGCAGCCCTTTATCATTTAAACAAGGGAACATTACAATAATAATAACTCACTTCTTGGATGCCAGGCACTGTCCTAAAGCATGTCTATAAAATAGCTAGATTAACTTCCCAAAAGTGCATGAATAGATACTGTTTTTATTCATTTCAGCAATGAGAGCACTGAGGCCTGTGGCATGTGTGTAACCAGGCCTTAGTCAAAAATCTGAGGAAAGTGGTCAAACTAGGATTCAAAATCAGGCCAACCAATGTCAGAGCCCACCTGCCCTGTACCTTCTGTGCTGCCTCTCCCTTTGGAGATGAAAAGAGAGGCACAGAGAGGTTAAATGAGGTGCCCAAGGCCACACAGCTTGCTGGTTGCAGATTTGGGCCTAGCTTTAGGGCTCCTGCCTGCTATCCTCATAGTGAGGTTCTCTTCAGGCATTTCCACTGTATGTTCTCTAGGCTTTTGTGTCTGGGGCTTCTTTTCCAGGACACAGGAAGGTAAGCAGTGGGGAGAAAATTAACCTGTATTTGGAAATATCTAGTTCTGGGTGGTTGATGGCAGATCAGGGGCCCAGATCTCAGGCTCTGAAGCTGCTGAGGGAAGCCAGACGTTGGGGACACGGACCTCCATTGGCTATTTATCTATTAGCTCAGCAAGTCCCTTTTGGTTATCAGACCCTGTGCTAGACATTGAGATGATCCTTAGCAAGCCGGTGGTGGCCTAGAACAAGTATTCCCAGGCTGAAGTGATGTTCCCCCACTGGCTGTCAGCCTGTGCCGAGGGAGCTAGGATGGTTTAATCTGGAAAAGCTTACACCATCACTCCTTCTCTTTCCTGTGTCTGGTGTTAGGACACAGGACCTGGACCAGTGTTATTCAAAGCTGGGCTGACTGAA